ATATATATATATTTTTTTTTTTTTTTTTTTTTATATATATATATATATATATATATATATATATATATATATATATATATATTTTTTTTTTTTTTTTTTTTTTTTTTTTTTTTTTATATATATATATATATATATATATATATATATATATATATATATATATATATATATATATGTTTTAAATATAAAAAAATAAATAAAAAAATTATAAATAAATAAGACAGACAAATAGATACATAAATTAATAAATAGATAGATAAATAAATAAATAAAATAGATAAATAAATAAAATCTATAAATTAATACGTCAATAAAATGGATAAATAAATAAAAAATTTGATAAATAAATAAGACAGACAAATAGATACATTAATAAATAGATAGATAAATAAAATAGATAAATAAATAAATAAAATCTATAAATAAATACGTAAATAAAATAGATAAATAAATAAAATAGATAAATAAATAGATACATAAAATAGATATATTTTTTACAGTTTAAAACGGCATCTTTAGATATCTTTTTTGCTGAAGATACGGCTGTCTCAAAAACAATAAAAAAAATGAAATAAAAAAGTATACACATACTTTAGGAACGGTATTGCAGAAAATGTTGACAGTTTTAAAACCCTGACTTTTCCAAACCGCAGTATACCTTTAAAACGGTTATCGTCCCATGCCTAAAGGAGAATAGATTATCTTTATGTGAACTATTCCCTTAAAGCTTGACAAAAGGTTGTTAAAATATATCAATATAAAATTGTACTAATTGGATATGATTGAAAAGCGCACTCTCTTTCAGTGCAGTAAAAACGGCCTTTTATTACAATAATTTTACGTTATTGACTAAAAGCGCACTACAAGTGCACATCCTGAACCATTAAACTCTTCTTTCTCACAAGGGCTTGCTTTCTCTTACTCGCTCTCTTTTGTGTTTGGATAATTAGGTTGCTCTTTGCAAGTAAGAGAACATCTTTTAAAGTGTGCGGGTCAAACCCTGTATTAGTCCGAGTGGGCAGCTTGTTATTATCGAGCTTTTCATTCAGCGCTTTTTCCTCTATTTTGCTGGCTTCCGTTTAGCCCGTCTCTCTGTTTGTGTCTCTGTGGGGGCTTTGACAGAGTAAACAGAGCCAAAGGATCTCCTGAACTTTAGTCCACGGTGCTTCATTAACCCTGACCTTCTTAATTATGCATTAAACCAGACACTCACACACACACACACACACTGTACTGGAGCATCCAGAGACATTTTGTTGTCCAAAACACATTCCCACAAAAGTGGTCTGCAATACCTGGAGAAAACACGCTGTTTTACCGTGCATCACAGTTGCAACTGCTTGAATACAGAGCCTATAGAAGTACACGATATAAAGTGTGTGTATATACATATATACACACTCATTGAATGAGTGTATATATACACTCATTGGCCACTTTATTAGGTACACCTTACTAGTACCGGATTGTCCCCGTCAGAACTGCGTTATTCCTTTGTGTCGTAGTTTCAACAAGGTACTGGAAATAGTCCTCAGAGATTTTGCTCCATAATAGCATCACACAGTTGCTACAGATTTGTCGACTGCACAGTCATGATGCCAATCTCCCGTTCCACCACATCCCAAAGCTGCTCTATTGGATTGAGCTCTGGTGACTGTGGAGGCCACTTGAGTACTTGAGAGGATTCACGCTTTATGACATGGTGCGTTATCCTGCTGGAAGTAGCCATCAGAAGACTGTGGTCATAAAGGGATGGACATGGTCAGCAACAAAACTCAGGTAGGCTGTGGCTTTGACACGATGGTCAATTGGTACTAATGGACCCAAAGTGTGCCAAGAAAATATCCCCCACACCATTACACCACCACCACCAGCCTGAACCGTTAATAAAAGGCAGGATGGATCCATGCTTTAATGTTTTTGATGCCAAAATCTGGCATATACACACAGTGGGTACGGAAAGTATTCAGGCCCCTAAATTTGTTGTCTTGTTTTAATGTGAGCCAGAAAGTACATTAGAGCATATCAATCTAACGTTAGACTTGTATGAACGGCAAATTAGGCTAACTCGTCAATGCAAACTAATGTTAAATGTTCGCTTACCTGGAAAAAAGAGCAACAAATATTAATTTTGCCTCATTCTGTAAATTGATAGGAGAAAACTCGTGATCTTACCTTTCACTTGTTCTGTTCACTGGTAAAACAATGCAGGTGTGTTTTTTTCTTCTTTTTTTGAATTTTTGTGGACTTTGCAGGGGGCACATAATTATGACCTGATGACGTTTGATTGGCTGATGGAGTTGGGTCATCATGAAAAATGTTGGTCTCAGGACAACTAGCAATTGGCAAAATCAGGACGTGCGTGTTGGACAGGTGATGAGCAGTGCCTGGTTTTCTCCCCACATTCCACTTAGAATTAAGGCCAAAAAGTTTTATATTGGTCTCATCAGACCAGCGAGTCTGGGAGTTTCCCACCATCTTGGAGTGCAGGCTTTCATGTCTCAGGCAACTTTGCCATGAATGCCCTCACTGGTGAAGGGCTGTATTGATGGTTGACTTTCTACAACTTTCTCCCATCTCCTAACTGCATCTTTGGAGCTCAGCCACAGTGATCTTTAGGTTTTTCTATCACCAAGGCTCTACTCCCCCGATAGCACAGTTTGCTCAGCTCTAGGAAGGGTTCTGGTCGTCCCAATAATCTTTCATTTAAGGATTATGGAGTCCACTGTGCTCTTAGGAACCTAATGTGCAGCAGAATTTGTTTTGTAACCTTGGTCAGATCTGTACCCGGCCACAATTCTGTCTCTGAGCTCTTTGAACAGTTCCTTTGACTTCATGACAACTGAGAACTTATATATTGCTTAAGGGGATAGTAATATTGTCCTTAAGATGGTTTAACCCAGGGGTGTCAAACTCAATTCCTAGAGGGCCGAAGCCCTGCACAGTTTAGTTCCAACCCTGCTCCAACACACTTACCTGTAGGTTTCAAACAAGCCTGAAGGACTCAATTAGTTTGATCAGGTGTGCTTAATTAGGGTTGGAACTAAACTGTGCAGAGCTGCGGCCCTTTTGGAACCGAGTTTGACACCTGTGGTTTAAAACTAATTAAAAAATGCTTTATTATAGTCGAAATAAAACAGATAAGAAAACTTCCTCCAGAAGGAAAAAAATATTATTGGAAATTGTAATGAAGTTTACGACTGTAACGGGGAGACTGGCACGGAGGGATCCATTATGCAGTATTTATTAGTCACACTTTCATTCAACAAACAACACGCACAAATGTGCGAACATACAACAGTAACAGCAATGCAGGTCTTAGGGCTGGCAGTTGACAGACACAGAGTGATTTACCAGGCATGGGTCAGAGGCAGGCAGCGAGTATCAGAGTCCGTGTAACAGGCTTGGGTCGAGGGCTGGCAGCGAGTACCAGAGTCCGTGTAACAGGCTTAAGTCGTGGGCAGGCAGAAGGCAGAGCAGAGTCAGGAAACGGGCTGAAGAGGAGATCAGGCAGGATAGAACGCTCAGTAATGCTGGCCGGGGCTAAACAAGACTTCGCAACGACTGAGTGTTTGAGAGCTGCTTATAAAGGGTACGTGGGTCATTAGCGGGATTCAGATCAGGTGTGCTGGATCAGTGTAAGTGGATGATGTAATGCTTAGAAGTCCGGAGATGGT